TGTATGTATATGTATATGTACAATATACGCATATATATGTATATATATAATATACGCATATATATGTATATATATATAATATTTGCACATATAATATATGTATATATATAATATATACATATGGATGTGTGTTTGCGTGTGTATCTGTGTATGTTCCGCGTGCATTTTATCCGAAATGTTGTGCGCAGCCAGATTTAATGTACGTTGACATTGAGACAGAGGGCGAGCAGAATTCGCACTGACGCAACGACAGCAGTTCTTTACAGTCGGAGGCGCTGATCGAAAAGAAACAAAACACAACTAAACAAAAACATTGGCGTTACAGGCGATAGCAGAGAAATTATACACGGACAAACCTTGGATGCGACGAACGCCACACGAACACCAGTACTGAAAAATCACAAACAAAATTACAACCTTTTGTACTTATCGCAGCGGAAGGGAAATCTCAATAAGGATCACAGGGTGGTAGGGCGATCTCGTTGCTGATCGTGGATTGTTTTAATTTTTTCTGGCGTGCCCGCATTTGCTCTCTTTACAGAAGGCTCCAATTCGGAACCAGAGAAGTTAGGAGGTTAAAATTTTTACAGGAGACACGTGATCACCAAAACTCAAATTCACCATCCACGCGTGCCAAGGTTTCATGTGAAAATCTTGGCGTCTAAATGAATAACTCGAGAAGCACAAAAGTTAGGACCTGGAATCCAAAATAATACTCTATCCTAGTAAAAATCCAATCTCTGCGAACGCCAAATCCCAGGTATGGACATAAGTTTGGACGCCAAAATTAATAACTCGGGAACAAAGAAAAGTAGAAGACCGAAATTTTATGAAATTAGTCATTGCCCTCGTATAGCTCCGTAGATTTAAAATTAGCCTTCATATGCGCCTTGGTCTCACGTGTGGGCGCGTGAAAGTTTTGGCACAAAAATTATTAACTCGGAAATCAGAAAAGCTATGATGTTAAAGCTTCAGAATAATGTTTCCTACCCGCGTGCAAATTGCTCACCGCGCGCGCCTAGGCCTCACTTACAGAAACGTAGAAGTTCTGGTGACAAAGTTAGTAACCCGGCGACCATAAAGCTTCTGTACTTATCAAGCAGTAGTGCAGTGGGCATTTTAACAGAAAGATTGTTCCAGACAAAGTAGCACAATCATCAGCGGAACGGGATCTCGCGGAGAGAAGCGTTCGCTGGACAGGATTGCACCAAACGCTTGATCGCACCGATTAACCTGGTACGCGTTGCTGTTTATTCTTCGGTACTTTGATCAGTTGCTGTTCCATCGGCCATTAGTGCAACTAGCAGCTTCTCCAATCTTGTTTGTAATGGACTATTCCGCTCTTTTACCTCTCATTTCTACAAAATGAACGTTAGGATCACGAACAGGTTGATCGCCAGTGTTGCTCAAAGTAACTTGAAAAATTGCCAAGCGCATGTGGGGCATCGTGTTTTGGATTACAACTAGTCTAACTGCAGTATTCAAAATCAGTATTTTCCAAAGTGTAGAATTTCGCATTTACCTATTCGAAAACTGGACTAGTATCAACAGACGCTCGAAACTTGCGAGCACATAAGAATACAATGAATGTCGCGGTCATCTGTTTATTCTTGTTATATGCTTTTCCAACAAGCTGTTGCGAGTGTCCAGCTGAGCGAATGTGATAAAACATAGTACAGATTACGATTTTTTCGATTTATTCATCACATAAAATCACAAAAATATCCGATTTTTGGTTACTTTGTTTCGGAGCTCAACTTGCTGTGTCGCTAGAGGAGAGCACACAAAGTACGCTTGAGACTTTAAATCGATCGCAATCAAAGTTATTCATTTCTCCCCCTTCTCTCTCTCCTGTTGTGACTGTAAGCCTGACCACTTGCTTTTTATACGTTTTGTGCTCTGTAACAGCAATACAAAACGCATATGGTCACGGGGTTGTTTGTTTGTGTGTGTGTGTGTGTGTGTGTGTGTGTGTGTGTGTGTGTGTGTGTGTG